AAGAAGGTAATCTCAAAAAAGCCCCAAACTCTAAACAACTAAGATATAACAATTTAAATAGTTCTGTGTTTTATTCATGTTATGAACATTAGTAGTTTTATTCTATGAACATTTTATCATAATAAAATTATCATTCTCAGCCTTTCTGAACCTCACCAGAACCATCTACAGGAAAGTTTCTCCCATGCAGGGAATCTCTGAGGAACATGAAAGTCAGGTCTGTGCCTCGGGCTCTTGCCGAAAACACTGAGGACTGATGGGGTTCCTCCCCGGGGGGGGGGGGGGGATGATGACGCCTCATTGCTAAAGAAGAGATCAAGCGGATCTTTCGACCAGCAGAGCTCAGTTCCCACCCTTCTTCACTTCCCTGTGGGCTCTTCTTGATCTTCTCAACACGGCTAAAGCTTTCTCCACAGTCTGAGCATTTGTAACATTTCTTCCCGGTTAGGGTATGGTTTCTGTGTAGACTCTAGCTTTCTACAACAGTTTACATGTCTTCAGTGCTTTCTGTGGTTGTCTTTTAGGAGTGAAATGGGAGAAAAGGCTCTTTTGGGGGGCTAAGCACTTACATGGTTTCTTCCCTGTGTGGGTTCCTCGATGAACTTGAGGATGGCCACTCTTAACTTAATCTCTTCCCACATACAGTGTGTCACGCCCGACCTGCATGCTTGAGATCGCAGCACCTTCTACCACGCCACGTGGGATCTCCACGGAGTTCTCATGGCCTCAGACAGGGGAGGGGAGGGGTCCTCTCACCCAGGTCCTCTTCCCCTTCAACCAATGTGCTGCCATCTTGGCTCTCTGTTGCCGTCTGTCATCCCTGGACTGCTGGCGGAGCTCCCCTCTTACCCCTCCCTGCCCTCCTTTCTGTATTTCTATAGGCTCCTGCCCCTATCCTTTATGGCCATTCCCTTGGAGCCCACCGGACCCCACCCACAGACTCCCCCAGCCCTCAGGATGGTGCTTGCTCACCCGGACCAGGTGGCCCCCGGAGCCCAGCAGGGTGGAGTTCCCCACCCCCGCACCTCCACCTTCTCTGCTGGACCATGGAAAGCTCTTTGAATGTTATCAGGCTGTGCCGAATTGAATGTGGGGTATCGTTATTAGGTAGGGTAGCTACAATTAAGATGTGTATCCTCCCTAGAGTTATGTTTTTGTTTCAGACGTTGCCTATTATTAAAAATCAAAAAATTTTCAAAGACTTAGGGAAATTAGTATCTGCTTTTATTTGGCAATCCCGGAAGCCCTGATTTAAAATGAAATTATTACAAGAAAGACGAGAGAAAGGAGGGTTGGGTTTTCCGGAATGGCATCTATATTATAAAGCTGCTTCCATGGTATGGATACAAGAATGGGCAACATTAGTGAACAGTAGGTTACTGAAGTTGGAGGGACATGACCTCCCGATGGGCTGGCATGCCACGATCTGGTATGATAAGGGTAGGAAAAGTTTTGAAAATCACTATATAAGGGCAACATTAGTAAAGGTATGGAGAGATATTAAAAAACAATTCTACGTTAAGATACCAAAGTGGGTGTCCCCTATTGAAGCTTTCGTGTTGCCAAGTCTGTATGAATATGAAATAAAAATTTGCTATGAGGACTTTGTTGGATAGTAGAAATGAACTTAAACCCACGGAAGGTTTGAAAGATAATAATGTGGGACTCTCTTGGCTACAAGTGTTTCAGATACAAGCAAGATATAGGGAAGATAAAAAACAAGGCTTTTATGATAAACCCTCTGAAGTGGACAAAATCTGGATTGGGCCGAGAAGGCAAATTATAAAAAATGTGTACAGAACTTTGTTAGAAGCTAAAACGAAGGAAGAAGTGGTGAGACAGAGTATGGCAGCATGGTGCAAAGATTTGGGTTATAATATAAAACTGGATAGTTGGTTGAGGATATGGGATACTAATATGAAAATTACAAGAGCAACTGCTTTTAAAGAAAACATTTATAAAGTGGTTTTGAGGTGGTACTTGTATCCGGCTAGAGTGGCAAAATTTTCAGGGGCAACCTCTAACGTATGTTGGAAATGCAGGCAGAATGTTGGTACCTATATCCACATGTGGTGGAAATGTAACAAATCTAAGAAATATTGGAAGATGATAATTGAATTGTTGCAAGAAATTATGGGAGTAACTATTCCATTTCAACCAGAACTGTATCTTCTTGATATGATTCCAGAGGGTTTTGGGAAAGTAGAAAAATATTTGTTGTTACATTGTATAACGGCTGCAAGGATTCTGTTCGCCAAGTATTGGAAGAAGAAAGAAATACCGGAAAAGATAGAGGTCATACAAAAGTTTTTTGAAATTGCCGAAATGGACAAAATATCTTGTATGTTGAAGGGAGAAGACAACCTACTTTTTGAAAAAAAGTGGAAAAAACTGTACAACTGGAAGTTAAAGGTGGAGGGTTAATTGGGAGAATTTGTAAGGAAAGAGGCTGCACGCACATTTCTGTTATAATGAAGGAATAGCTTGATGTTGATGTATATTTAGAAAACTTAATAAATAAAATATAAAAAAACAAAAACAAATCAGTGGCACAGCCATGGGCACTGACATGGCTTTACAGTTTGCCAACATTTTCCTGGCGGATCTAGAACAGCATTTTCTGAATTCCTATCCATTGACTCCTCTCCTTTACTTGAGAGTCATTGATGACATTTTTATTGTCTGGAACTATGGCAAAGAAGCCCTTGAGAGATTTCACCAGGCTTTCCACAACTTCCACTCCACCATCAATCTAACTATGAATTACTCTACACAAGAAATAAACTTCTTGGACACCACAGTATGGATACAGAAGGGACACATAAGCATCACGTTATACTGGGAACTGACAAATCTACATGCCTCCAGCTACCACCCCAACCACATCAAACAATCCATTGAGTATAAACTCAATTGCAACTGATAATGAAGCTCAAGACCATACATCCACCTGGACTTAATCGAGACTCCATGCCTACTACCCCTATATCACACCTAATTAATCACGCCTGCTATTATCATTCATCTCCTATTGTCATTTGCCTGCTAATGTCATTCATTAGCTGAAATCACTCCACTTTCCGGTGTATAGTACAGATGGGCTCACGTTCTAGCTGTATCTGAAGAAGTAAGCAATGACTCATGAAAGCTCATATCCTGCCACAAATTTTGTTAGTCTTTAAGGTGCTACTGGGCTCTTGCTCTTTTCTACTGCTACTAGACAGACTAACACAGCTACCCATCTTGAGCTAACCAATTTAGGACCAACTAAATGAACCAACTAGTGAGCTACCTTTTGGATTTCACAAAACTGCTCTCAGGCTCCATCTTAAACAAACAGGTATCTTCAAAACTGAATTCAGGCCAGGAGGTGACAAAGCTCTTCTTTTTAAAATATATATAACATTTTATAAGAAAGACTTGGAATCATTTTTATTTTAAGTCCTAAGGATAAATCCAGTTAAAGAAGAAAACTGACAATTGCATATATTAGGACTTCCTTGTAGATATCTGCAAACTTATCCACAGCATAAAATATGTGTTATATGCTGCGCAGTCAGAGATAGCACCTCAAAAAGGGTGCGGTACAAGCTTGCCGCTTGAGATGTATTCATCCTGAGAGAAAATCTATACGATCTGCACCGTTGTACATCACAAAATGTGCAGCTTGTTGGTCTTCTTGGAGCATTGCTTTCCTTTCATTTATTAGCTTCATTGACCAGAGGTCTTAAGCCAGATGTACAAACAGCTACTATAAGACGCATTACATATAATTACAAGATAATTTAGACCAAACATTTTTACAATAAAAACGAATAAACATACTCATAAACAATATTAATAGACAACATTTTATAAACTTCCATAAATTCTATAAAATCCCATGATACTATGGAAATTAGTTTTAGAATTTTAAAATTTGTATACATAAAACCACCTACAGCATTTCAAAGCCACTTTAAAAATAGCACTATCGATAGTTGTTTTGCCACTAAGCCTTGGAGCATTGCAGTGAAAGTGGTATATGGAGTCGGGATATTCTTGTGCAAGTAATATTTTAAGGTTCTGATATACTTTTTTCATCATACTTGTTTCTGTTTGCCATACTTTAACCCATATAAGGAAGGATGCTGACTTTTGATAGGAGTAACTATTTTTGCAAATGGGGTTTCTTTTCATGAAGAGGGAATTGGGTCCAAGTATTGTGAAGAACCATGGGGTTGCGAAGAGTTGGACTCGACTGTGCGACTGAACAACAACAAAACCATTCAATTATAACAGAACATTAGTGCAAGTGCTTAGGAATGAGCAGCAGGTATGCAGGTAGTGCTTCGGGGGGGGGGGAACTGGCAGGGCAATCTTATACAGAGTTAAAGGTAAAGGTAAAGGGTCCCTTGCTCGAAAGCCAGTCAAATCCGACTCTAGGGTTGTGGTGCTCATCTCCATTTCAAAGCTGAAGAGCCAGCGCTGTCCGAAGACGTTTCCGTGGTCATGTGGCCGGCATGACTAAACACCCAAGGCGCACGGAACACCGTTACCTTCCCACCGAAGTGGTACCTATTTATCTACTTGCAATTTCTTGTTTTCGAACTGCTAGGTTGGCAGGAGCTGAAACTAGAGACGGGAGCTCACTCCGTCATGCGGCAACTTGGGTCTCGAACTGCTGAACTACTGACCTTCCACAGCCTGCAGTTCAGCGTCTTAACCACTTGAGCCACCGCAGCTCCTTATGCAGAGATACTCCAATCTAAACTCATAGATTTCAATAGGCTTAGACTGCAGCAACTTTGCAGAGGACTGAATTTTCCCAAATCAACTGACACTCATCCTGCCATCTTAATGTCCTTATTACATGGGATAGATGTGTTTTTAATAATAGTTTCTGGCTTTCTTCACTTGTCATTTGTTTTAAGAGGGATAGGTTTTGGACCAAATGGGAAGTAATTCAACTGCAGGACTGTTTTGTATCTGCTCTAAACTTTGGTTCTTGTCCTTTTCAGTGCTGCTCTACGTGAGAAAAGAGGCTGATGAAGTGTTTGATGCTTTGATGTTAAAGTCCCCCACTGTAAAAGGCCTCATGGAAGCGGTAAGTGTCTGCCATCCCTATCTCATTTAGCTTTTACGCTATTTTTCCCTCAAAAAAACAAGCCTGTATACTCTGCCTTTGCTGGAAGACCAAATAAATGAACATTTTGTACTTTTGCTAGCGTGTGGGGGAGCCAGGGGGATATGTGTTCATGTCAATGGTGCTCATTTCCCAGGTTGGCGTGACAGAGAGGAGGGTCTCCTGCCCCTGAAAGGGAAAACAAGCCACTCAGCTGTTTCATCCCTGTTTCATCCCTGTACCTATGGGAGTGCTGCTCCATCATCCAATCACCTTTCAGAGGGGTGATTGAACTTTGGAGGGAAGCACAGAAGCAGTTTAGTTCAGGTCGGCTTCAGGGAGATTGGAGAAGTTGCCCTTGTGCCTGTAAGCAGCTGTAAATTAAATCTGTGAGATGTGGAAAGAAATGGACACATAGAAAGACATTCTGTTCTATTCCTAAGATTGCACATCATCATCATCCTGCAGTGTAAACAAGTTGCTATTTATCACATCTCTATGTTTGAAGTTGGAATATTTGGGAAAGTCTCTATTGGAAGCTTACATATTATGAATGGACTAATTGGCAGCACAGAGCACTTTAAATTTTGGTGAACTTTATTTTTCATTGTACCTTAATTGGATTATGGTTGAACAGAGTGTTGCACCTTACTAAGAGTCTTTCTACTGACCCTATGGATGATTATTCTGTGGTATAAGCTGACGTCAATATAGCTGGTTACATTGCTTAGTTATTGTTTCACAGTTGTTTCTTATCTTTGTTTCTGCCTGGTAGAATGGCAGAGTGGTTTAACTCTACCTTTGGGAGAGGACAGAGTACCTGCTTGTGAGGCCTGTCTCTGGTGATGAGCAGACCTTGTACCCTTTCGTCTGACTCTTGGGAAAAGGCAGGCTAGTGTAGGTGGAATCCTGTGTGTAGAAGCTTTTCAATCTGTGTGTAGAAGCTTTCAATCGACTTGGTTCCGTGGGCATGGTTCCACACCAGGCCTTTGCAGTGGACTCTCCTCCCCTTCCAGCAGGATGTTGCCAAAAAATGGCACATCTGAATACAAATATCAGAAGGGCTCCAAAGTGAGCTGCAATGGTGAGCTGCACCAGCGAACTTAAGCAAGACCATTAGCTTCCTCCAGCCCCAGCAACTGGTGATAACCACAGATGCAAGCAAGAGGGGCTGGGGTGCATACTGGGATCACCTTGTCAAACAAGGCAGATGGTCCCCAAACCAGGCCTCTCACAACATCAACTGGCTGGAACTTCGGGCAGTCACACTAGCGTTGAGAGCATTCCAGCAGCATGTACAGAACCATCACGTACTAGTATGCACCGACAACATGTCCACAAATGCGCACATCAACCGGCAGGGAGGCACCAGGTCAAAATCCCTCTTTGTGGAAGCCTCGACACTACTGCGGAACACTTGAAAGGCATTTCCAACCTCCGGGTGGACTGGCTAAGCAGGGAGGATCTGGACCCGGGTGAGTGGACATTGAACAAGGAGATCTTCGCCCAGCTCATGCAAAGGTTCGGTGTTCCGGTGATGGACCTGCTAGTGAGCTCAAAGAACCATCAAGTGGACAGGTGCCAGGAACCAGCTGCGGAAAGAGTCGACATGTACGCCTTCCCTCCTATGGCCCTCATAGGGGCAACACTCAACAAAATACGACGGGAGAGGGCCAGGGTGGTGTTTGTGGTTCCTCACTGGCCAAGAAAGCCCTGGTTCTCGGATCTGGTTCAGCTGTCATCCGAGAGACGGTGGACGCTGCCTCAGAGGCTGGATCTGCTTCAACAAGGGCCCATTCTCCACCTGGACCCGATATGGCTGCAACTAACTGCATGGAAATTGAACGTGCACGAATAGAGGACATGGGGTTTCCAAGTGAGGTAATCGAAGTCATGCTGCAGGCAAGAAGGCCATCTACCCACTGCATCTACAATCATACCTGGAGGACATTCGCACGCTGGGCATCCGCAAAAGGGATCCGCCCTCTGCGGGCCACGGACAAGGAGGTAATCCTGTTTCTATCTGAAGGATGGAAAAGGGTACTTCGGCCGAACACACTGAAGCGACAAGTGGTGGCGACCATACAAGCATGTCTGGGACACGAGGCACGAAGGAAGGTGTCCACGAGTCGTTACATTAAAAAGTTCTTAAAGGGAGTAACCCAACTATCCCCTCCAGTCCAACACAGGTTTCCAACGTGGAGTTTTCACAAGGTCTTACACGCCTTGACAAAGCCGCCATTCGAGCCCATGAGGAAGTGCGAGCTTCACCTTCTGTCGTGGAAGGTCGCCTTTCTCATAGCAGTGACAACGGCCAGGAGGATCTCCGAACTGGCCGCATTATCGGCAAGGAAAGAGCTCTGCATCTTCCAGAAAGACTCCATCTCCTTATGGATGGATCCATCCTTCATCCCCAAGGTTAATTTGGCCTTCCATCTCAACCAGCCTATTATGTTACCTTCATTCTGCCCAGATCCAGCGTATCCTAAAGCGAAGACCTGACATAACCTAGATGTACGTAGGGCTCTACGTATATACCTGGACAGGACGGCGGCCTTTCAACTGTCAGACGCACTGTTCGTGGCATATGGTGCCCCCAATCAAGGCAAAAAGGTTTGTAAGGCCACGGTGGCCTACTGGATCAGACAATGTATTGCCAAAGCCTACGAGGTGCAGGGAATGACACCTCCAGGCCAGCTGACGGTGCACTCCACAAGAGCAGCAGCAACGACAGCAGTGTTTTCCACGCGGGCCACGGTGGAAGAGATCTGTAGAGCGGCAACCTGGGCATCCTTCTCCACTTTCATGAGACACTACAGAATGGATCAAGCGGCCTCAGCCGAGGCAGTGTTTGGCAGGAGAGTCTTACAGCAGGTGGTGAATACATTAAAAAGAGAGAGAGAAGGAGGCAAAACACGGGGTTAAACAAGGTCATAGGATCGGTCCCCACCTATGCTCCCTTTAAGCTGTGAAGTCCTGTGAGCAAAAATTCTACTTTGTGAGCTACCAGCATTAAAGTTGTGAGCAGGCTGTTGATTTGGCTGCTGCATAAATTAGTTTGCTCTGGACTGGAACCCTCCTTGCTGAGCTAAGACAAAAATGTGTGAGCCGGAGGGTAAAAAACTAACTCAGCTTAGAGGGAACACTGGTCCCCACCCCAGAAGAACAGCTTGGGTACAGCTAACCACTTCCTGGATGACTTCCCCCCACTGAAGGAGAACGGTACATTGGACCTACCTGAGGGTTCTTCCTCTTCAGTGGGGGAGAAGTCATCCACATCCCACTCGGACAGGCTACGAGGAAGAGTCAAGGGTGGTCAAAATCAGGATGACTGTGTCAGCACAATTTACGAATGCCGTGGATTGATACGAGGTCAGAAAATGAGAGTGATCCACGGACAAGGCTTGGACATGACTGGAGAGGTCAGCCTAGGCCACTCCAATAGGAGCCACACAACAAAAGAAATTTGCATAGCCTATCCAAGTGAGCAGAGGCATGACCTAACCACTTCCTGGATGGCTTCTTCCCCATTGAAGAGAAAGAACCCTCAGGTAGGTCCAATGTACCATTCAGAACAAACCTGGTTCCCCAAAATCATAAAAGGCCGTGTGAAACCCCCCCCCCCATTGGTAGAAAGGGTTGACACAGGGCCCAAATCATGGTTAGGGTAGCTTGAGTCTACGAGAGAAAATCTTCCATGACCAATCACTCCAAGGAGCTGCCGGCTTTGGTTTTACACCTGGCTGTGTGCCTAGCCTGAGCAATGACTAACACAAGCCTTAAACAAAGGGTCATTTGACAAAGTGATGAGGCTCTTAGTATACATTTGGAAGAAGTACAGAGGCCATTAATATGGTGAGATCAGAGCTATATTGAGGGGAACTGTTAGAGCACCCCAAGAAGTCATCACAGAATCAGCAACCACACCAAATTCTAGAGTCCCTGTTAAGTTGCAGATGTTCCAGATGCCCCCCACACTATATAACTGGCCCTCAAGAATGGGAGACAAGAGTCCAAAGAGGCAGGAGAGTGTAGCAGAGGCTTACAGATGGGTATCCAAGCAGATACGAGGAATTGATCTGAGTCCTTGGCTAGAGGTCCCAAGTATCTGGGCAGCCAGTAAGTCCTAAGGTCGGGTGGGGGGGCAGGTGGGGGGGGCTTAGGCCACGTCACAATCAGAGTTTGCTTGCGCCAGGTCAGAAGTGTATATGGCCAGGGTCCAGGGCAGTGGTCCAAACAAAGATCAGTGAAAGTCTTGAGCAGATGTCAGTTCTGCGGGCAATTTAAAGCAGGACTGAGTTCAACCAGACTCTGTAACTCACTGCACAAATTAAAACCAAGCAGGCAGGCATGACCTAGAGAGGGGTTCTGGCTCCAGGAACAGGACTAGATGTTTGAATGAATGTTGGGATCCAGCATTCTGTATAGAGAAAGGGAAATAAATCATGGCTCACGATCCAACAAGATCACAGTTTTGGAAGCTCAAAGTAGGTCTGTTTACTTTCTGTTTCTAATGGCTCTCTCATTGAGAACTGCGTGTGGGACTTTAGCCTTGATAAGATGGGGAAGGGATGGATTCCAGAGCTATTACCAGCGTGGCACAGGGACAGCCTTGTTTCTCTATTTCTTTATATCCTGCTTTCCCCCCCAGTGGAGACTTAAAGCATCTTACAATACCAAAAAAATCAACAAAAACAAATGGGGGTGGCTTTGCAGCTCTCTCTCTCTCTCTCTCTCTCTCTCTCTGGGCCAAAGTAGGCGTGATGGCATCCTCATGGCCACCATGGTGCCACTGCCAAAATGCCAGGAGGGCCCACAATGCAGCAGGCTGAGGTGCTCTTTCCTCCCACCATACCATAGGAAGTGCCAGAATGGCCACGACCCCCTCCCACAGCTGTCTGGACACTTGAAAAGGCGGGGAGAATAAGAGTGCTACATTGTGTGTCTGTCCAGAGTTGGGCCCTTGCAGCATTTTTAAGTCA